AGCAGGAACACAGCAAATTATACTTTCTACCTTTCCATAGCACAGGAACTGTGCTTCTGTCTAAGAACTTCTGAATATTATTTCTTGGTGATTCTCTGTCCCCCTCCTGTTCTTTCCACTTTGTTGTAATCACTGATGGGTTTTCTCTGTACTATCATATCGTATTGTATCTTATCATAGAGTATCATATTATAGAAAATTAAAATTTAAAACTAACACCTTCTTAATGCTCAGAGGCTGAGGATCCAGCTCCTTGAACTAAGAATAAAGTTTTAGCTTCTTTTGCATTCAAGAAATATGAGTTGTTTTTTAATGTGGTCTTTTGTAGCAATAATGTCCTACAACACAACTTCCAGTGATGTGATATGTCTTAAGGAACTCGCATACGCTGACAATCCTTATACGAATCTCTTATCTGTTGAGAGAACAGTAGAAGGCTCATCCAACCCTTACGCTGTGTGCCAACAACTGGAGTGGGGCTGCAGGCTTTAGACACTTGCACACCCTAGTACCAGCAACAGGGAAAGTGAGCACCCAAGGCCAGCTAGCAAGATGGATAACGAGCTAGCCTGTCTGTGGTTAGGTTCTGGGAGATCCGTAGTGTGTAAGTGTGGGTCCCAGTGTGGGTGTGAGGTAGCTGGAGGACTGGAGATTTCCGGACCAGCTGCTGGGTAGACCGAGTGGCTAAGGCCAGTCACTGGGCTCTAGCCGTGGATCTGTCTGTGCGTGTGTGCTCGCTCGAAGGAGTGCGGGAGGGTGTGTATCTGTGAGTGAGGGGATCTGTACCAGGAAGTGGCATGAGGCTACAGGCCTCAGAGGCTCATACATCAAGGTGCTGGTGTGCGAGGGTGCCAAGGATCCAAGGCCAACTCCTGGATAGGCTGTTTAAGGACAGCTACTTGCGGGGGGAGGGGCAGGGTCCACACTGGTTATGGATGTGTTTCCCGCTAACAGACCTTCATTCTGAGCAGCCAGAGAGGGATGCAGGGTGAATATCTGTTAGTGCCATCTGTGTTTGCATGAGTGTTTCTGGCTGTATTGATTTTTTGTGGCTGGCTGTGTGTATACATACGTTTGGATTATGTATGTGTTTGTATGCCTATTGGGAAGACACACACAGTGTCTTGCTACTGGGTGGACCTAGCAAAAGGGGGCTGCCGCAGCCTTGACACCATTGGGCTATTGGATTCAGTAACCCCAGATAAAATAGTTAGAACTTCCTATTCACTTCTAGCCATCTTAGAGTATTTAGGACATCAACCAACCCGTGCCGACTGCGCAGCATTATTTCGATGGACTGTGGTACATTTTGTCAGCATTAGGAAAAACAGACTTGCTATGTTTCATCCCAACCTCATCAATAGTTTTTGTGCCACAGCAGTTCAGAATCCGTGAAGATGGGTCCAATCTTAGACTAAATGAAGAAAAGAAGAGTAGAGGGCAGAAGGGGGTGATCCTGTGATTTAAGAGTCATAAATTTACTGGGGGCAGGGGAATGAAAATACTAGAAATATTTTTGTGTTGCCTGCAGTATCATGCATGTTGGCAGCTGGGAGGTATGGAAGCATCTGCACACCAGCACAGCTCCCCCATTCATCTATCATGAAATGTAATCCCCACTGCTGTCACATCAAGGCCTCACTGCTGTCTTTCTCATCACAGAAGCCGAGTACTAAATACGCCGTGAAGACTGAGTTGCACTTTCACTCATAGTACCTAAGTTAAAATAAGGGTAAATGCAAATAAATGAAGTTTAGACACTTATTTAGACAAAAGAGAATTTATGTATTTTGGAGTGGGGATAAAAGAAAAATAACCAATAGATTTTTTAACTCCTACACAAAAAGAAACACTGGCAGGACATGTGTGAAAAGCATTCCATCTATTGTGTACTCCTGCTTAACACTCATAAGGCTCTTCAGAATGTCCTCCTGTACCTTTGCCCACAACCACCCTGACATGTGATTGGGGTGATGCTGGTGTTATTGTATTGCTACAAGCTAAACAGACAGTTCTCCTGCATCGAGCGCTGAATAAGGATGTGGGATGATGGTATCATGTGAGGCCTGGCCTTAACTGGGGCAGGCAGTCACTGGAATTCCCAGCTGGTACCAAACTACCCAGACTGTGATAAGGCTCAGGGCTGGCAGGGGATGAATTGTTTCACTCTCATCCCCCACCGTAGCTAGGCAACTGACACCTAGTATGGCCATTCCCCACCTGAGCAGCGCAGGAGTGCTTTGGTATGGTAAGGGCTGCTTCACCACCGAACTCCCTGCACAATGGCTGAGGTTTGATGGGAATCTCTAAGGCCGTAAAGCAGTCCAGGAGCTGAGAGACGAAGAAATGCACCACGACAACAAGCCCTCTGGTTAACCTGCTCCAGCCCTTTGTCACATTCAGAGTAAAAAAGTGTTTCCTTGTGTCCAGAGGGAACGTCCTGCATTTCAGTTTATGCCCATTGCCTCTGCACCTGTCACTGGGCAGCACTGAAATGAGCCTGTCTCTGTCCTCTTTGCATCCCTCCTTCAAGTATTAGTGCACACTGATAAGCCTTCCATGCAATTCTCCTCCAAGCTGAACAGTCCTACCTCTCTCAGCCTCTCCTCATATGAGAGATGAGATGATGTTTCCTACCGTAGAATATTAGTTCATTACAGAATAAGATGCTGACACAAGCAATAAAATGTGCTAAAGGGTTGATTTAGGAAACAGGGTTAAAAATTATTTATTATCTTGTCAAAAGGCAGCTTACAGTAATTGTTAAATCTATGCCTACTGATGTAAAAGAGGAAAAGAAGTCTCTATTACTAAGCACATCTATGTATTAAGTGTTTATCTGGATTCAGCGTGAGATCAGAAAAGTAGGGCAAAACGAACTTAAAACCACTGGAGATAAAAGAGTATTTTAGGAAAGTAGACACTACATGCCTTCATTAGTCTGCTTGGCATTCACTCTTCATATTGTGCTAGACTAGCAGAATCTTACAGTATGGCCAGCACAGCTATTCTAAGAATTTTGCCTTCCTATTTAGAATAAGTACAGCAAACTCAGGAAGGGTCACAGCTTTGGAACCTATTCCATTATATTTGCCTTTGTGATTTGTGAGAAGCAGTCTCTTCCATTTCTGGTATCTGTCTTCTAAGCAAAGCCTCACACACCTGCTAGTACAAAATAGGCTGATTTCTAACCAAAAAAAAGATGCAGAATTCAAGGGTTGTAGAGAAGGGAGCAGAACACTAGAGAGATGAGAAATGAGACACCCTTTCAGGAGAGGCATGGTAGCTGATTTTTCCCTCACTGCGTTCTTACTTGAGATTAGCTTGGTGACAGCACCAAGCTCATTGTGGTAGTGAAGACAGATTCAGTGAACAGATTAAGAGCCAAGGATCTGGTGATAGATTTTAGGGGAACTTTGCATATCTTTTTTAATGTCATTATCGGAAAGAAATTATATGTTATTGCTAGAGGATGGATGGGTATAATCCCATAGAGTATTTTTTCTTGATCTGTGCCTGTTACTTTTTTAATCTTGTCAAAATCCTTCAGAAGAGGAGAAAATATCATACTGAACAAAGAGATTACACCTTTTACATACGTAATCTTGCTGTTGTTTCAAAAAAAAAAAAGGAGAATCGTTTTGAGAGACACTGCTTTTTATAAAAGTCCCTTTATGGGTCTCAAATTCACAAGGTGTGAACAAAAGGGGCAATTTTTGATACCAGCTAAACAATGTAATGTCCCTCAGTAATCCACATAAAGTCTCAGCATTTGCTCCCCCACTAAGGGAGGAAATTTCAGTTGATTCCTCCTTTACACAAACTCAGAAAACATGGAGAAACGATCTTAGACATTTGGATTTCCATCTGCAAGATTTCAGCAATTTTAGCAATAAACTTTAGCTGTGCTTACACAGAGCCATTGCAGTTTGGAGGAGGGACCAGGCTGACTGTTACAATTAAGAAAATGTTGTTTACAAATTATGTTTGAAATAAAAAAAAAGAAGAAACCCATAAAGATTTTTTGTCTTTCAATTATTTCTTTTCAGAATGATGTTTTCTATTTTAGTCAACTCATGTTTAAGCCACTCTGTGTATCAGTGAGAAACATGACCAGTCTTACAATTGCTGTTTTCATAAATAATGTTTGCCACATTTGCCCTGATCCTTTCACCAGAGCTTCTAGGTCATTTTTGCTTTTGAAAAATTCTAAGAAATAGACAAAGATATAGAAGGGACAAAAAAACCCAAAAGCACAGACAGGGTCTGAGTGCAGCAGCCCCTAGAAGAAAGAAGATGATGTTTTGATTCTCGAAGTAAAACTCCTAAGATGGAGATAGGTTGCAGATGAAGGCACTAACACTGTTCAGAAATTGAAAGATAGATTAAGGGAAAAATTAGAGCTCTGATTATGTATTTTATGAGGAGAAGGAGGATTGATGACAAGGGACTGCTGTCTGAAAACCCGAACAAAGACTAATATGTTTGAAACGAAAGGACAAAAGGATATTATCTGAAGTGAAGGAAACAAAAAAGGTTGGTGAGCAAGTTCTGTGCCAAGTGTGACATGGAATAGGGCACAATATCTGTTGGCACAAGCCAGGGTTCCAGGGTCCTGATAACCAAATATAAATAGCTCCCCACTCCTCCCAGTTGCTGAACTCCTGTGTTCAAAATTTTCTAGGTCACAGAAGGTGGGGAGGGGACAGAGGAAAGAGAGGAGTTGATGGAGGCTTCTTTCTCCTTGACTCTTGAACCCGTAACACTGTTAAAATAGATATGTACTGCTTTCTTATAGTTTCCCTCTCAACTTGAGACAACAGACCTCAGTGACTACACTGAGTGATAAGTAGTGGCTGACAGCAAAACTGAATGCATTTGTCAATTCTCTTTCAGCCTTTTAGATAAATGTTTTTATTAGCACATGCCATGGGTACTGACTTTCCTGTGGGAGCCAACATTTGCATACCTGAAGCAACATCCCCCAAGAAATGTGTGTAGTAGGAATTCTTTCTGGTGGCTACGATAAAATATCATGGTTTTGGATCTCAAAACAGCATTTATTATGGGAGGGGAGAAAACAGATTTTGTGGGTTAAGCACTTGATCATTGTATGAAGCGCAGGAAGGAGGGTGTGGGGGTGAGGGATTTCCAATTAGGTGGGTCAGAATTTTGCAGAATTAAGTAAAGGGTGAGGGTAAGTGTCAGGCTGTGTGATTACACTTAGGTCTGCTGGATGGTGAAATCGTAGCATAAGTGATGTCAAGTGGCCTAAACAAAGGAAAAGTAATTGTCTGGAACTCTTAACAGTCAGGGTTTTGCTAAATCCCATGCTTAAAAACAGTACTTGTAGGTTCATGAGGAAAACAATGCTTAATGTCAAAACAAGTTAAGTTATTTCTTTTTTCTTTTTTTTCCCTCTTGCTTAATCTTGAAAGAAGGGAAGTAGAAAGAGTGAAGGACTGCAAGGGAAGGATGAACAGGATGAACCTTCCCTGTGGTCCTGACATTTTAGTGCTGTAGACATTATGCAAGTGGTGTAGCATCCTGCATCTCCAGGGGCTAGTACAACTCTTGCAGGGGTGGGGAATACTTCAGGAGTGGCTTTTCTGGATATGGTAGATTAGAAAATAGAAGCCAATAAGGGGGATGAAGAGAGAACAAGCTCCTCAGACAATTTTTATATGAAGGTCAGCAGTAATCCTTTTTGAAAAAGGAACATGGCTCACTGTTCTAAGTAAGAAAAGAAAAAAAAACCAACAGTGGAAGGGTTTGAGTCAGCAGAGATTCACAAAGAAAGCTAAATATGGCGTTTCAGGAAAGACAGGTCAAGAAAGAGAGAGAGAGTAGGGACTGTGAAGAAGAAGAAAAGGAAAAGTTAACCAATCAAATTATTGTTACTAAATTTGCCCTATGAATCGGACAGTTTGGTGTTAATTTTTCAAATTAATAAAAATGTGGAGAAGCTAGCAAACAAGCTTAATGGAATGAACTGAAACGAGTGAGAAGGATGAGACAAGACCAAAGAAGAAGAGACCTCAGTTCAGATAAGTGTATTCTGGAAGATTATATACCTACCTCTACAATGCAGGATGACCAGAAACTCTACTCAGTGTTTGCTGAGTCTACTGGCAAACTACTGGCATTTCTACCAGAAATTATCTGTGTGCCTGACCTGGTCTTTTCCCCAGAATTAAAGAACAGAAAGAACTAATCATTATGATTCCCACTTATTCCTACAATCTATCTCCCTTCGTCACATCCAGATCTAATGTGTGTTCATGAAAAAGATAAAGGCAGAAGAGGTGGGACTGGGAAGGATGTGCAGGTATTGTAAATAATTGGCCAATTAATTGGCAAAAGATGTGGAGGCTGGAGGGAAAGTGAGAGTGGGTCCAAATGAAAGAGATTGGATCTTATGCTATATGTCATGATTTATAAAAATTGTGAGGATATTGATGTCAAACATTAGATAATAAAAGTGCTTTACTAATAACAGAGAAGTGAGGGGTTATTTTTATGTTGTAATCCAAATTATCATTCGAAAACAATGAAGAACATTTAATAACCAAGTACTACTTTGATATACCTTCTTTGCAGCACACTGGCTACTATTCTGGGGGGTGGTTTTTGGGGGGGAAAGACATTTGAAGGTTTAACGTGGTTATCACTGAACAGAACAGCAGCCCAGGGCAGGTGTGAGTACTCTTGATATTACACTGTGAGGCTGTGCTCTGACAATATCCAGTATTTTTGAGCACTAAAAAAAGTAACAGTCTTGGCAAATGGGAATCATGGGGAGTGTAACTGACTGTGCAAGGAGTGAGATTCTGGGAGTGTGACGAGGGTATACAAAGAGGGAAGTCTTTGGATTCGGATGATGGGCTCTTTTCCCAAGGTGCCTCATTATCCATGCATTAACATGGCCTACTATTTCTTTGCTAAATAACAAAACACTTTCACTCTTGGTTCTTTCGGGAAACTGTAGGTTAAAGATTGTGCAGGTTATAGGTTTCGAGGGCGTGTCAATTTCCTTGCTTGTTTATTTTTATTTTTAATACTGTATTATAAGGAGAAGAAAAGATTAAGGTGAAATAAGTCAAGAAACTTCAGGAAAACTTTGACTCAGGACCTCAGGAGATGGACATACAAAGAAAAAGATAAAGGCAATAGAGGATGAAAGCAGATTGTCAGTTTCCCCCTACTCATTTTATAGTTTATCACAACCACCACAGAGTTAATTTTGTTAAATTGGCACTTTAGTTTTAGTAAGCTTGGCTATTTTGTCAATATACTAAGAAAAACTTTGGTACTTGCTCTGTATCTTTGTATTTTAAATCCTGGAGCCGCATTCTGTTCAAATAACCTAATTATTTACATTCAAATGGCATATATATCATGGTATATTTAGCACATTTTATGATGGAAAGACAATAAAATTTAATGTGAACATAGTTATCTTTTAGATTGAAGATCATGCTCCTGCATGTTTAGGTCACATTGAATCTTCAATTCAGCCTCCATTCTCCAACACACTTATTTCTACAAAAAAAAACCCCATGTACTGATATTTATGAAGGTGATGGGTCTGGGCCATATTTCTTCCCATTTCAGAGAAGAATGATGAAATCATACCTCCAGCTGTGGCCGTTTTTTCCCCATCAAAACTAGAGATCCAACAGAAGAACAAGGCCTCGCTGGTATGCCTGGCCTCTGGTTTCTACCCTGACCACGTGAATCTCATCTGGAAGGTGAATGGTGCTAAGAGGACAGAAGGCGTGGGGACAGTCGAGTTTTCCACATGGAATGGGAGTACCTACTCATTGACCAGACAACTAAGGATCTCAGACCAGGAATGGTTCAACCCTTTGAACTGTTTTGGGTGTGTTGCCAATTTTTAAGAATGGATTGTTGGAATCGATACACAATTTCATCTATGGTGACACTGGTGAGTAAAACATACGTGGGTGTGAGGATTGTCCTCTGTAGGCTCCTATACCCAGAGTAAGCAGTCATTACTGGAGGCATGTTTTCTTGCCAGTCTACTACACTTAACTCAGGTCTGTCACTGCCCAAGAAATTAAGACCAAGCACAGGAATCCAATTCTGTTTTCCAAGCTTGCTATGAGCCATATAATTCTCATTCCCACACCCACCTTCTATTATAGAAGTGATTGTGTGGACAGAGCACTTTAAAAGATGTGCTGATACATATCTGGGCTGAAATAATATTGCCTATTTCTTTTTTCCCTGTTTTTAGATTGTAGTATCTTCAAAGGTAAGACGAAAGATTTTTTCCTGTCTTGACAGTGAGTTTGTTTATCTATACATACACCTGTTAATTCAAAGAGGAATGTGCCTTGTGTGTATGTGTCCTGTGTTTGTGTTTGCTGGCAGGCACAACTATTCGTGCCTGCGTGCACAGGTACATGTGCAGACACAAGCACTCATGCTCTTGTTGAATACACATGCATGGATGTCAACATCCAAATTCTGCCTATGCTCATGAATTCTTCCATGTGACTGACTGCTAGAACTCCATATTTCAGCATAAAACCGTCACTTAGAGCAGCAGACCTACCTGTGGAATAAAGACGTATCTTGGTAAGCAAGCAGTTAGAACGCTTTGCTAAATCACTGACTCCTCATACTGCAGTACATTTTTTCCTTAAATACACTGCAGAATTAGAATAAATTATATTCCCATGAGAAAGACTCCAAATCTAGTTTCATTTGATTCCCAGCAAATTCAGAGCAATTCCTAATCAGTCATACCAATATGAATCAGCAGAAAGAAAATAATGTCCTTGTCTAGTGAAGTTTTCTAAAGAAATTTTGTTGTTGTTTTTTTTATTACTTTCTCCCTTACTTTTCAGAAAGCTTTCAGAGAAGTGCTACACCTGGGACGTTTGTGTACATCACGCTCATTTTCAAGAGCATGGGATGTTTATGATGGGGTTGATGCTTAGGTCCAAGGAAAGGAACAGAGTTCTAGTCCACACACATTTGTCCTAACTCATTCTAACTGTACAGGAGACTACTTTGGACAAAATGATGTCTTAAAGTTGATAATTATATAAATCCACTTCTCTACAATTATATAGCGTCGCTCAGGATTTTCAAGACAAGACAGTAAAAATGAAAGGGAGGGTTTTAGGCAGAAGAGAGGGTAAGAACTCCAGGGAGATATTGCAGAAGAAAATGAATGAAGTATTACCGAGAGGAATAGAAAGAAAAGAGTAAAAAGGAAATGTAGGAAGAGTAAGAAAATTATGAAAATAAGAAACACCAAGAAAAACAAAGAAGACAAGAAAAAAAGGATGCAGGGAAAAAAAGGAGAATTTGATCTTTTGGGGAGGAGGAAGGGAAAACAGGGTGGTTCTCTAAAGCTGTGTTGTGGGAACCATTTCCATGCTGTGTAACTATAAAACCAAGGGATTGCTAATCCTGGAGACTGTTTCTGGAGATCTTTCATCCACTGTGAATCTCATTAAGCTATTACCTTATGGCACAAGTTAAATAATTGGTAATTCAGAAGCAGCTCACTTAGGAATAAATGGAGCACTGTCGTGCCTTTTACGTATCGGTGTATCTTAAAGAGGTCTAGGAATAACACAGGCCAAGATGTGGGAGTGTTTGTGGAGCTTTGAAAGCAGAACATCTGGAAATGGCAGAAGGAGTAGGAGGCTAAAGTGGAGACCCTGAAGGGAGTTTCTGTCTGGCACAGCCAGGGTCTTCAACACAAGGAGGAAACCTCTCTGAAGGCCCCAGCAGAAAACGGTACCTCAGAAGCAGAGCGGATGACATGCCAAAATGTGCTTGAAAACATCTCTTTAAGGGAACAACAGTTGAATTTTACCCAAAACAGGATGCGGTTTGACATTTACTCAAAAAAAAGTTTGATAACGCATCAGCCTCTCTTACCACAGCACCATCTCAGTTTCTCAGAATGAGGCACAGGTGCAGCTCACTTCACCAGATTATATTTGGCATATATGGTCCTTACGAAAGCTGGTGGGTTTTTTGTCTCACGTTATCACACAATCTTCTTGTTACTGAAGTCTGCAGAGGGGTTTTTGCATGTGCAGCTGCTGTTTCTTTTGTGTAACACACACACAAAAAACAAAATACTTGTGGGTTTTGGGGAGTTGCTGACATGCTTTTACCAGTTAAAAAAACACCTCTGCATATCTCAAAACACCAAAACAAGATGATGAAAATCAGATCCTTATAGAAAATGTTTAATGGAAGGGAACTTCTGGAGATCTCTCAATCCAAATTCTTATGCAAATCAGGGATAACTCCAAAGCTGGATCATGTTGCTCAGGGCTATGTCCGCATGATTCCTGATTATCTTCAGACAGACATTTGGCAAGCTCTCTGAGAAATCTGTTCTGGTGCTGCAGCACCTTCAAGAGGAAGCATTTTTTCATTGTGCCTAATCAGAGTTTATCTTGCTGCAGCTGGTTCCTACTGGCTTCCAATGTGCCCCTCTAGGACTCCAACTCTGTTCAGGCAGTCGGAGTCATGCAAATAGCCATCCTTTAGCCTGCTCCACTGGAAAATGAACAAAATCAATTCCCTCAGCCTCTCCTCAGAAATATAAATTTCTCAGAAATATATCTCTCAGAAATATAAATTTCTGCTCTAGTCCCCCGATCATCTTAGTGACCCTCTGCTGGACTCCACAATTTGTTGATATCTCTGCTGCACTGGGGCTGGGGAAGGATGTGGATATGTATGGACAGTAAAGGCTGTATTCCAGAGACAGCCTCACAAGTGCTTCAGCATGCTAACTGCACTCTTGCTAATGCAACCCAAAATGTAATTAGCCTTCCTTGCTGAAAGGGCTTGCTGCTTATTCATGTTCAATTGCTTTTCTGCAAAGCTGCTCCCTAGCCAGTCAGTTGATATTTAAATAACTCAGATAAAGGGTCTTTCACCTTTTCCCCAGGGGATGTGCCTGTAATCCAACAACTCCTTTCCCAATGAAGAAACACTGTGTAATAACCAAAAATTGAAAATTTATCTGTAAATTCAATATGCTAATCTGGCATATGTGATAATATAGAATCACAGAATCGTTTGG